AAGAAATTACTTTTTAATCACCTAGCATAATTAAATAAAATTACTAATGCATCTATGATATACATTGGTACTTATTTAATTATTTTGTGTTTTATTTTTATTAGGACTATTTTTTGGGGGGTTGTAATATGTTATTTTATTCTTTTCATATTAGGACATCATTAATTTATGTACAAAAAATATTAGAAGCTCATTTATTCTATATTTCACTTCTTTCCTACAGTGATATGTTTAATAAATTAATTTATTTATTTTACTAAATTTAATCGACAAAAAACATTCGCCACCACGTGCGATGCACGTGCACTTTACTAGTTTTAGCAAAAAGTGACCATACTTTATCTTTGCATTTACTACTTGTAAAACTAAGGCATGTATAGTAAAATTACTCAATAAAAAAATATACAATTTCCCATTATTACATTTTTTTTTAATTAGGCTGAGGAAGTTCAGCATTCGGGGCCAAAGAAGCTGGTCCTTTACTTCACCGGCGCCACTAACATACTGTACACGTTTGGCGGACATGCTGTCACTGTGTAAGCTCTTTTTTTTTTTAAATAATGTTAATTTAGTTAAGTGTTTTTTTTCCATTATTTTTTTAAAAATAAAATATTTAAAACATATAGTATAGTTTATCTTCTTCTGAGCTTCTAATTACAGCTTTTGCCGGCCACCTCGTGGACCGTGAATTCCGACATAATCATGCAAGTTATCTTTTTTTGTTCAACATTTTTTTTTTTAAAAATTAAATTAAAAATTGTTAAAGAAAGGGTATCTACTACTCTGAGGTAGGGCTGCAAACGAGCCGAGTCGAGTCGAGCATTGGCCTTATCGAGCGGATTGAATTGTTTTTGAGGTGCTCGAGCTCGTCGAGCTCGAGTTTTGGTGCTCGAGCTCGACTCGATCAAAACATACAAGAGCTCGAGCTCGGTTCGAGTTCGGCTCGAGTTCGGCTCAAATTTTTTTAAGAAATTTTGTAAAATAACCATTAATTACATATATATACAAGGGTATTTTAGTAGTTTCACATATCTCGATCCGCTCGCGAGCCGCTCGACAATGCAATATATGGGCTCGAGCTCGACTCGAGTTCGAGTTTGACTCGAGTTCGTGCTCGAGCCGCTCGAGCTCGACTCGAGATCGGTCAAACTCGAGCTCGAATCGAGCTTTGACTCGAGCGCTCGCGAGCGACTCGCGAGCTGCTCGACTCGTTTGCAGCCTACTCCGAGGTTACCCAACTCTACTAGCTAGTTATAGCTTAAACACATCGAGGCAAATTAAAATATTTAATCGAGCTTATTTATTAAATAAGTCTAGTCGAACTTGTTCCAAACAATTTGTACATAAGGTCCTGTTACGAAATCATTCCGTCGGAGCTTGTAACCGTTAGAGCAACTATCTCTGATGGTTAAATGATAATCTAACGATTACGAACCCCGACAGAATAGTTCCGAAACGGGACCTTATCATTTCTCCTAAATATAATAGTCGAATTAAACTTGTTCACGAATAAATTGTCTGAGGTGTAATTAAAAGCGTTGAACCAAGTCAACTTATTCATTAAAGAAGTACAATAATTAGCTCGATTAGACTTGTATAACATAAGTTTTTTATTTAATTTACAAAGTAATTTAGTTAACAAGTTGTATAGAAGGATAGTTTTGTCATTTTATACTTAACCCACATCATTTGAAAGTACTATTGCCATCACACTTTCAATAATTGCTCACTATTTTCCAGTTTTAAACAGAATACCGTACCAATTGGCAGTTAGATTCCTACCATTATGTGTGACGTAGAATATATTGTTTTTAACCTTTTTCACTTTTATTATTCTTTTACCCATGTATTTTACCACAGTAAGATTAATATCGGATATATTTTTCTACAGAGAGATTATGCATGCCATGTGGAAACCTCAAAAGTTCAAGTACATTTACTTGGCGGCCACATTGTACGTTTTCACCCTAACCATACCGTCGGCCTCCGCCGTTTATTGGGCCTTCGGAGATCAGCTTCTCAACCACTCCAATGCTTTCTCTCTCCTTCCGAAGTCCAGCTGGCGAGACGCCGCCGTCATTTTGATGCTCATTCATCAGGTTGTTTCTTTTTTTCTAAAATAAAAATTAATTCAACAATTCGTACACTAATCACTTTATATCAATTGTTATGTTAAAAAAAATGTGTTAGTGTAAAATGTTGCACTGACAAGCATTTTTACACTGCAGTTTATTACATTCGGATTCGCATGCACCCCACTCTACTTCGTATGGGAGAAGGTGATCGGGATGCACGACACGAAGAGCATCTGCCTGAGGGCACTTGCTCGTCTGCCTGTTGTGATCCCAATATGGTTCTTGGCTATCATCTTCCCGTTCTTCGGCCCTATCAACTCAGCTGTCGGGGCCCTCTTGGTGAGCTTCACCGTATACATCATCCCGGCCCTGGCCCACATGCTCACCTACAGAAAAGCCACTGCTCGCCAGGTAAAAAATATTATTTTTCTAATATTGTATATAGTACGTTCGACTTTTTTTCCCCAGTAAATAAGCGCTTTATCAACATATTCACGTTTTAAATTTCTTTAAAAATAAATGTATAAAGAACACGTACTGTTAGGCATTTCAAACAGTTAAACATTCATTCTTTTACAACAAATAGGCGTACTTTCATACACAAATGACATACTTTGGAAAACACCCACAAACAAAAGTAGGAAATTTCTCAGAATATGCATTTTTGTTCTAAAAGTATGACTGGTCGATCCGCCTATTCGTTAAAATATGATACAAGAATTTGGGCTACTATTATTATAATTATTGGAAAATTGATGGTACAAGCTTAAGACATTGGCATTAAATGCATGAGCTAGGAAAATTTGATTGGACCAGAACATATAGGTGGTGAGTCATTTTCAATTTAGTTATATGCTAGAGTCTTGACGTTGTATTATATGTACAATATGAGCTGGCTCCTAGTTGCCAAAGAAAAAAGGACCCATTTTTTAGACCTACACATGAACATAATTTCTTGATTTGAGTTAGGTTAGTGACTAAATTAATGTATACATATAATGAGCTTAATTTAATTCTTGGTATATTATAACATCAATATGGCCTAAAAGTGGTACCTAACCCCATGGACTAACGGTTATATGGTTCATGTCCCTTAATTTCTTTCTCTCTTTACTTTTTTATATGTATATAGATTTTTTTTTTTTTTAATTGCAGAATGCTGCTGAGAAGCCTCCACCTTTTATGCCAAGCTGGACAGCCATGTACGCCATGAACACATTCGTCGTGATATGGGTGTTCGTGGTGGGCTTTGGGTTCGGAGGTTGGGCCAGCGTGACCAATTTCGTCAAACAGGTCGACACATTTGGGCTCTTTGCAAAGTGCTATCAGTGCAAGCCTCCAGTGCCGCCTTTATCGTCACACCATTGATCCAATGGCTCATATTCTCTCAATTAGGCGACAGTATTTAACTAATCTAAATCTACAGTATTTTTTTTTTTTTTTTCACTCCTCTGTACCTTGTAATATAGATGTGGAGATTTGAAATATTTTATTTTAATTTGTGATGTGTGCCTTTTTTTTATATAATTTTTTTTTTTTTTATAAGAAAAATGTATTTTTATATTTACTTAAGATGTTAGGTGAGCTGAGCGTATTGAAAATTTGGGGTGATATGATTGTATTAGTACAGTCTGATTAAGCAAAAGTTTGTACTGTTAGTTTTGACCTTTTGTTTTCAATTCATGAAATTTTTAATTGAATATTTTACTTTACTATTAGTCCAGTCAATTTTTTTTTGACCAATAATTTTTTTCAGGGCAGATGTGGGCCGTGGGCCCAAGCCTACACATGGGCTGCACGTTTATTCCTCTCTTTCGCACGTGCCTATTGTAATCTCTCTTTAATTCATTTGGGAATATTATGTGTCATGAACTCATGATAATGAGTTTGTTCTTTAATTACTTTGATTTGAATGGGAAAGTGTGAAACTTGAACGTGCATATTTAATACAACAATTATCAATTTGAAAATTGGAGTTACTCGGGTTTGATTATTGTATTGGTTATCGACAAAAGGAGTCATCCACACTATGGACATGTGTCTTACAATAAATATAATATGAACATGTGTCAATATATTAAGTGATGGATAACTCCATAAGAAAATTATCCGATGGCTCTATAGAATTTTTGTTGGTTAAGTTTACTTCTATTATCAAGCTAAAAACTCCATCATAATTGATCAGGCTGCTGATAGCTCGTAAATTAATTTTGAGTTGTTCAGTCACAGTGACTGATAAATGAAAAGCTAGCAGATATAATCATTTAGTATATAATCAGGCTAAAGATTAGGGTTTAGATTTGTTGCTCCACTTTACTGTTCCGTTTCGTGTTCTATTCTGTTGCAAGAATGACATATGTATTAATATGACATCATCATTTACATGTGTCATTAATCCAAAAGAGTGGAACACGAAATGGAACATAAAAGTAGAGTACGAAATCTCATTCCAATTAGATAATAAGTTAGTTGAAATAAATATTTTAATATAACTTTTTTTGAAAGGAATAAACATTCAAAAAAAAAAAAAACTCAATCCTATCAACAAATTAATTTTATTTAAATAAAAACATTATAAGATAACTAATATTAAATGAATTCGTTATCTTGGTGAGTGAAGATTCCTGTGGTCGGCCAACATTGAATTGCTTACTTTATATATACCAACATATAATCGCAATTAATTGTCTTCCCTTTTCCATTTCTTATAGATAGATGGTTACGTGTCGAAATTTGATAGCACAACAATTAATTGCAACCCTTTTTTATTTTTTATTTTTTAAAATAAATATAGTATAGTAATTATCATATGCAAGCTGTTAAAAAAACACCATATCAAGTAGAGCACGAAATAAAAGGTTTATAAGCTAATCGAGCTCAGAACAGTCACGTCCATTTACTTTTCTACGTGGAATTTCAGTGACGTCCCTAACCTGTTAATTGTTATCAATTGAATCCTCGCAAAAATTGAAATTTAATTTTCAGTCATTATATACATACCACGCTAAGTTTTGTTATGGAATCATCAGATGACTCGACTTATGAAGTTATTTATAGTTATTCACAAATGGTGTATTGACACGTGTAGTGCATTAAATACTCATCGGACATTTATCAGTACATAAAGATGGTTCCATAAAATTTCTGTCGGACATGACATGCACAAGAGGATGTTTAATCGCGATTCTTGGGTTCTTGCATTGGAGATAATTTATCAAGTCCTTGTAAAAAATAACAAAAAGAAGAACAATATATCAGGCTTGTACAGTTGGGCTTCAGTTCCAAAACAGAAACATCGATATCTAATAATGGGCTTACAAAAAATCAAGCTGATCCGGCCCATTTAATCAGCACATGTCAGAAAAAAAAAAAAAAAAAAAAA